TGGCAATCCTCAATCAAGGAGGAACAGGAACCGGTAGGCAAATATTCCATCTTCTTCCCATCCTTCATGGGGACAATTCTGGGAGCTGCTGTGCACATTTTCTAGCAGTTCCAGGGGAACTGAGCACATTGTGCAAAACAGCAGCCTCTAAGATGTATCATCAGGCTGCTTTCCCCTCCTTGCCTGCCTTCTTCTCTCTCCTCCCACAAACCAAACCCCACCCAACTACCTGCAGCCACATTTTTGTCTCAGCTCTACTTTGGGGAAAACCAGAATAACACACTTCTGATTATTAGAATTACCATCATTGTTAGGCCATTCTCCTTAAACACTCCTTGTTTAAACGTATCAAATGCTAAGTTTTTACTTGTACTTGGGTCTATATTTGTAGTCTCTTTTTTTCCCCTTTCTTATTTATTTATTTTTGAACTCTTTTTTTTTTAACCACTGGTAAATTTATATATCATTTGTAATTATGTTTATATTATAATACATTAATATATGGTGAAGCATGTTTTCCATTTGCTTCTATAATTCTTTTATTCAAGATATTTATGACTCTTTTTGGTGATTTATATTTCAAAAGAATCCTAAATTATCTAAGATAACTCACATTGTAATTTCAGTAAAATATTACTGAATTTCTGTTGAATTTACACGTTAATTATTATGGGAAGGTTTGAACATTACAGATGATGTTTTTCATTTAAGGGAAAGATATATTTTGACAAGTCTTCCAGGTATAGCTATTACTATTATTATTTTTTAAAATCTAAGTCTTATTCCTTTTGTATATAGTTTTAGGTAGTTTTTGCCTTTGGGTTGCTATTATTAATTGATATTTGTTTTCAATTTGAATGTTTAAAAGGTTGCTAATAAAAAATCTGTTATGTGATTTTTTTTTTTTTTTTTGGTCTGGGTACTTTGCTAGGTATTTTGTTCAGTCTTCTGTGTATTCTGGACATTTAATCATATTGTAGGTAGGTGTTAGTAACTATCTTCTCTTCTTTAATAGTTATGTTGATTGTAACATTTCGATTTTCTAGGGCTTGCTGTTGATAATGAACTAAATAATAATAGCATATATCTCTTAGTTCTGATCTTTTATAGAAATTACCTCAGTATTTAACTATTTCCTATGCTAGAAGCTTTTCTTATATATAATTTTCTTCTTTTTCCATTTTAAATGGAGTTAATACTGCAGAGGTTGAGGCAGTGGGGTAGAGAGAATTCCTTATGGTTATTGGCAGAGAGAGAGGAGCCAGTAAGATGGAAGAGCTTCGTGAAATAAAAGACTGAGACTATTTAGCCAGGTTGCAGATGAGGAGAACTCCAAGCCGAGTTCATAGGCAGAGGCCGCCCTGAGGGACAGGAAGAGCCCCTGAACCCAAAGCAGAAGAGGGAAGAAAAGGAGCCTGAAGTCCCAGAGAAACCCACTCTGAGGAGGCAGATATGGATATTTTTTGTTTAAGAACCTCCTAGACTTTTATAGAGATTGAATCTAAACTAAAATGGACAGACCAGTGGGGGGCTCTCTTAGATTGGCAGGTGTGGGTGACAGGGACGTGCCAGAAGGTTGTAAGACTCAGAGCAGTGATCCCAACTGGGACATGGGAAATTCAGGGGAAGAAAGGAAAAGAGAGCGGTGGTGAGTGAGCCCAGGAGGCTCAAGGGAGAGTCCAAAGAGGCCCAGACCCAAGGAGGTGAAGTCAAGATTCTATGAGAAGCTGAGTGTCCTACGAATCATCCTTAGTGACATAAAAACTGAAGGACTCCAAAGCAAGCTTTATGAAAGTGCCATTAAATGGTAGTTAAAGTCACTCTACATCAATGATAGAGATTTCAAAAGCTAAGGACCAAAATGAGCCAGGATCTGAGACATTGAGGAAGCTGGGATCTGAAGGTGTTAAGGAGGAGCCTGAGAACAGGGAGCTACTATGAAGACCAGCCTTGGTCATGGCCCAGGGGGGAAGCAGAGAAGAAGGAGCACTCTGGGAGACTGTGGGATTCGAATGGGAATCTAGTGGGCTGATAAGGCTGATGAATGGTGAGAGAGCTGGTTGGCCAGAACCAAGAAAGAAAGCGATGAACACTTAGCAGGAGTTTGCATAGGGATAGGCAGGCAAGGATAAGAAGAAAAAAGAAGAAAATTATGAGTGCGTTGTTTGTACTGGAGAGATCTGGGAGGTTTCCCATATCTTATCAACAGAGAGTGGTGCAGAATTCCCAGCCTCAAAGATAGAGGAACTTTAGAACTCCATGGGGGGTGGCTTCCCAAAGCCTTGCTTTAAGTATGCACAGTGAGTTAAAGGAGTCTTTTACTGATTCTCCTGCCCCCCCACCCCGTGTGTGTGTGTGTGTGTGTGTGTGTGTGTGTGTGTGTGTGTGTTAGAGTGTGTGTAAGAGAGGGAGTCAGGCAGACAGAGAGAGAACAGGTATTAGGGATCTAAGCAGATGAGCTGAACTGTCCTTTCAATTCTAGTATTTTAAAAGAGGAGTTCAGCATAAGTCATGAGAAGTATTATCACTGTTTCCCCAATCATTGTCATTTAAAAAAATGCAATTTATACTTATAAAGATTGTTTTAGATTTTTAAAAAAGATTTTCAAGGTTTAATCTGAAACAGAAGTTCAATTTTTAATAATAGTTGCATTAATATTTACATGGTAATTCTTCATGCTAAATTCCTCCCAACATCCCCCCCCCACCCGCCACTTCCAAATAACACCAAATTTTGAGGGCAAATATTATTTTGGAATTTTGAGAAGTTTATGACACTTTAGTAACTCATATAAGAATCCTTGCACATTTTCATGATGACATTGTTGGTGTCAATCTGTGAAATATAAATGTAACTGAAGAATTGCTAACACGATTTCCTCATGGGAACAGAAAGTGATGCTTGTGGTTTAATGCACAAGCTAAAAATCATAGTTGAATTTTCTTAGATTTTAAAATATTCTGAAAATAAACTTTTTCAAGCTAAAGAATCATTTACTTAGATCTCATTTTTGAAAATCAAAGCAGTCAAAAATTATGTGGGTTTAGACAAAACAGAAGGTTCAACTATGCCTTGCAGCAGTGGCTTCTGGCTCATTCACAGGTTACCTCCTCCACTTAGTGCCACCTCCACTTAGAAGAATGTCATCTGAGGTGGGCACTGACCCGGGGTTCCTGCCAGGCTCAGATTCTAACATATGTGTGAGTAGCAAAACTCTATCCAGTCGTGTTTAGAACTGTGTTGTGTGTTTCCACAGCAGTTCCCAGGGCAGAGTAGTCTGGTGTCCCTCTTCCTCATCCTAGATATCCAATGACATTAGGTCTATTGGAGATTTTTCAGTTATAAGATCATGCCTGGTCTCTGTATCTCTCTTCTCCTCATAGATGAGTCAATTGGTATCTGTGATACCACCACCTGTACCCCTCCTGCACCTACAGGGCTGAGCACTGTGCCCTGACTCTAGACTCTAGACAGGGGACCACAAACACTCAAGTTCAGTGCCCTGTGAATTGACAATAAGGAAGATTGCAGCTGACTTAACTCCATCATCTTCTGTGTGAGAATGTGGTTCTTTATGATTTCACATACCAATCATAGATTACAAAAAGGGGGATTAGGGATCAGAAAGGAAAACACAGAGTTACTAATATTTATTGAGCATCTACTTTGTACCTAGTACTGTGCAGAGTGCTTGATAAACATGACCTCATTTAGTCTCACACATCATTATAAGAGTCAGAGGTCATAATATATATTTTACAGATGAAAAAAATTCAGAAAAGTTATGAAGTAGCTTGTCCAAAAACATACAGCCGAAATGTTGAATGAAGAACTCGAAATTAGGATTTTGTAGCTGCAAAACCCATGCTCTGCATGGAGGTCAGTTAGCTGACCCAGGTTTATCCAGCTGGAAAACGAAGAATATAGACTCTGAACTTAGGTTTCAATCTAAAACCCAGAAAAAAAAATTGCATTTAATAAAACTGATTAGACCATTCAAAGTACTTTGATGTCTGTGACAGGTCCCCACAGTCATCAAGCTCTCATCATCAATAAGTTCTGATAAATTGTGCATGTGAGTATGCATGTGATTTGGGGAATACACTTAGCAAGTTTCCTTAAGAAAGATGCTAAGAGATTCTAAAGTGTGGTCTGCCAACAGCCTGCTTTGCCCCTAAACCTTGGTGCTTAAAGTTCACTGAGTAAACCTAGGCATTAAATATCACTATTTCATTCACATATTTATGGGGATTATGCTGATCCCATCCCTCTGATAGAAGTCATGCAACTTAAGCACAGATTTAGGATTCTTCTAGATTTCAGAAGAAGTAGAACTCACTGTCCAGATATAAAGAGATATTATTAGGTACTTAGAGGTTGGTTAGAGGGGGTTAGTGAGAACAATTTCTTAGGGGAAAATTTGTTTCTAGGTTTAGCTTTGGGACTAATATTCTGTGGGTCTTTGGGTAGACTGCTTAACATCTCTGGGCCATAAGTTATCTCATCTAGATGGGGGCTGAGAAGGCCATGTCTCTAAGTTCATCCACTTATACAATTCTGTGCTTTATTTATATTTTCTGCAGTTTGATTTCACCTGTTAAGAAGGAAACTCATGAAGTGGACATATGGCTATGGCTGTGATGGGAGTCTTATAGAAAGCAGTGTTGAGCAGTCATGGGGAAAACGACATACAGATGGTACAACAGGCTAGGGTTGACCTTGGGGGTCTTATTTCCATCTCAGACATCCAGCAGCAGCATGCATCCTCCCCACGTAGTGAGTCCTTGGTATATATTAAACAAGAGGACTCGGACATTCAGGGATGATCCACATAGTCTGCTAATTAGTAATATCATGTTCATGGATGGCGACAGCTGTACATTTTTTCCTATCCCTGAATATTCATATGCGTTGAATGGAATCATGGGGTATCCTAGCAATATGACTTACTGCTGAGACAGATGTTCTGAAAGAACCTTCTTTCTGTGGTTCTCAAATCTCACCCCAGAAGCCCCCTCTGAATCATGAGCTGGCTCTCTGAGAGAGTGTTGGCAGGACTGGGCAGAAGGCTGCCCGGACTTGCCAGCATTTCTGACAGTGTGACCAAGAATTATTAGAAGAGCTACCATAGCTGTATGTCTCATCACTTCCTTTAAAAAGTGTTGAGATGACAACTCAAAGTGCTTCCACACATGAGGCCCTGTCTGAGAGACACGAGAACCTAGAAGAAGACCTCCAACACAGGAACCCCCCCCGAACCCCACGCCAGTCTTGGGTGCTTGTCTGTGGGACCCTAGGCTTTCTGCTTCTTTTAACTTGAAATGAAAGATGGACGAAGACTGTGCATTGGTGAACTTTCTGTTTTGAAGTAATACTCTACATGTCAGAGGCCTATTATGTAACTATTCAAAGGGATTGCTGTCCAAGTGTGAGTGGAAAGCCTGGATTTCTTTTTCAACTGTCCTGCATTTCCGTTTTGGTGAAGTATTAGGATAATGTTCCTTTTCTGGATAGGATCAGAAAATCAGAGACTGTAAATAAAACAAAACAAAACAAAAAGAAAAGAAAGAAAAAAGAATCTTTCACCAGTGTCCCATTTTGTCCCCTCTATGGAGTTTGACAGTCAGAAACCTGTGAAAGGTTTGTTATTATTAGTACAAGAACTTTTCCCATGGCCTAGGCATTTTCTACTAAGTTCATTTGGCAACTTTAAACATCGATATCTAGAGAATGCCCAGTGCCAGTGTGACTAATCAAACTCCAACATTTGAATGATTGGATTGAATAACCAACAGGATTTTTTAATGTAAATCTCTAGCCTAGACAGGGATTGGTTTCAAAGGAAACCATGTCTTTTCTTGATTAGGATTTTTTTTTTTAAATAAAGATACAGCAAATATTTTGGAAGACAGAACAGGGGATGGGCATATGGAACTTTTCTGTCTGGACAGAACAAGTGCATAGAATAACCCAGAGTCTAGCTCAGAAAGCCAAATATGCTGTGGAAGCTTCCAGAACAGCTGTCTCCTGCAGAGAATTTGAACTAATACTGAGGGCTATCTGGTATTGCTTTTCCTTTAACATTGATATTTTTGTGTTCCGCTCTTACCAAGGGCAAAGCGTCCTCACTAACAGATTCTTTTGTGAATTGAGTGAGCTACTAGAACATTCTTTATGAGTTTCCAGTGAGTTTCTAACCATGCATGTGGCCACCTCTCTTCTATAGGAAAATGTTTCTCACGTTATTTCCTATATTTATGGTGTGTTTCTACATTCCATTTTCTTTGACATTTATCTCCTTTATTTACTTGCAACCAGAACCATCTCTTTCGTTCAAGGAACAGCCAAACAACTTCAGCAAGAGAAGAACAAGGTAACATAGCTGTGTTTGCAAGAGACATTAAAATATCAAGTACGAAAAGCACGAAGCGGGACAGACAGTGTTTCCCATTCCTCTTCCCAAACAAAGGAAGTAAGAAATTCTTTCATGGCTTTTATTTGTTTTTCAAATCACACTGTCCTCAACTTTTAAAATAATAATCTTCCTTGACAGTCGTTTAATAATTGTGAGTGATCTATGACTTTATTATAAAGTACTCATCTAATGATCTATTTCCTTTACCCCAGAGGCCAAGTACAAAGCAAGAGAATTATCTTGGTGATACTTTTAATAACTTCCTGTGGGATTGCAAGTCCCAACCAAAGCAGACTCTGCAAAGGAGTTAATCATGTAATTTCACAGATTAGACACCACAGGGTTACTAATGAGAAACTTCAGTTTGGTGATAAACTTTTTTTTTTTTTTTCCAGGAATATTTTGAGAGGCCTGTAACCTTTGGCTGACACCCAGCGAGGCCATTAGTTTAGGCATGGGATGCACTACAAAACACACGAGAATCAACAGAACTTCTTTTCTGGAAAGTTGATTGTAAGAATAGTTTTGTTATAAAGATTTCAAAAACAGATGGAATGGACAAAGGGGAATAAAAAGAGACAAGCGTAAGAAAACTTATCGACTTCCGTTGGTTGGCATAGCTTCAGCTCCTAGTGTCTCTTCAGCCATATGCTCAAGATGGAAACCGCAGTTCACATCTAAATGTCATGCTGCCCTCTGTTCCATAAACATGTATCATCCATCACTAAATATTTAGATCTGAATTGTTGGAGCTGAGCTCTGTGCCAGGGGTAGGGGGATTAATTCCTTTCAAGGTCCTCACATGATGGATTTTCCACTGAAGTAAACATCCGAGAAGAGCTCACACTAAAGCCATAAAGTATATAAATAAAATTTAAAGTTTAATTAAGTCAACATTATTTAAAGTGGTTGTCATATTTTATGGCAAACTTTTCATGTTTATTTTGTATGACTGCTAATAAATAGCCCCCTCCTGATCAGACAAAAGGCACAGCTAGGTTACGGCCAAGGGCTCCAAACTGAGGGCCGGAAGAAGATTTCTGAGTTGGGGATAGAGTGACCTTTTTCCATTACGCTCAGTTGCACAAACTAGCACGTTAGCTAGACCCTGAGTTAATATCCTGTTCAGAGAGAATGCTGGAAAATTCTTTACGGATTTAATCATTTGGAACGTGGGAAGACAATATGCTCACATAGAAGGGAACACAGACTAGCAAATGAGAGAGAATAAGTCAAGAGAAAAAGATAACCTTCATTTTATTTTAGTTTTTAGTTCTTACCATAATAGAAAACATAAGAAGGTTGCTTAATCCAACCAAAATTCATCTTGGATTATTCACTTCTTGAAATTATTTTTCTTAAAAGGTAAATCATTTAAAGGTACATAGTGTTTCAAAAATCAGGACTCTAAGGCACCTGCTTTTTGTTCCTTAATATTAAATGGGAAAATTGCTAATCATGTACTCCTTCATGTACAATGGATTCAGCATTAAAGGAGAGAGAGAAACTCAAGTGAATTCTCCGTTGGGTTGAGTCAAAGTTTAGTTGCTACTCAGTAAGGACTTTTGTGTTGGAAGATCTTCTCAGCCTGACCTTGCATGACCTGTTTCTTCCCAAAGAAAGAAATTACTATACAAAGAAGTATTTAAAGCTGTAAGGAAACTTTCAGAGTTGGAATAAACCTTTAGCACTCCAGGCCAGCCCTACTGTTCTGAAAGGAGAAAACCAAGGCTGAGTGAAGTTGATATCCAGGTTTACTGGTCAAAAGAGGTCTAGAACTCATGTTTCCTAATATGCCCATCTTACTGCTTTCTTTTGTGCACAGGGCTTATTTCATACTGCAGATATCTACAGAAGAAGTTTATGGGAGGTATACCAGATGGTCTTAGAGAAGATGAACTAGCAAAGTAGGGAAAATTATAACAATTCTTTAAAGGTTCCTGGGATGCATATTTTCAGAAACCAAGGGATTTGATGCAAAGTCTTAATCACAAAGTGTCAGTCTCCTTGTGTTTAAAATGCAAGTACTGTAAGGATTAGAGATGTATTCATAAAGTGCATCCTGAATACCTACCTGGCAGATATACCCTTGATTGTATCCCTAATTGATGTCATGTTTATACTTTAGAAACTATTAAGGAAAAATAGTCCTTCCAAATTACTAAGCTACTGATCTGATTGAGGGTGATGTCATTTTTCTCCCTAAGTCAAGGGTCACATTTCATTTTTGATAAGCCTCAATCCTTTATATAAATTAATATACATATATATGAATCTAAATCATTCTCTTTCAAAATAAAAATAAGTATAAAATGAGAAAATATTTGCTATCACAATGCTTATTATCACTTGGACTGAAACTTGCAATTTTAATGAACTGAAAACATTTTTCAAAAACATGCTGAAATTTGATAAGCAAAACACAAAATTCATTTCATTCTTTTCTACTGAGAAAATGTCTCTTTACATGTTCACACTTAGCATATTTAAATGTGATGATTAATCATACAACAAATGAATCAAGAAATTTAAAAAAACATTAAGTTAGATATGTATATCTTATGCAGTCTTTCAAAGAATATTGAAGGAAAAAAGGTATTAATGACGATATAAGAATTAATACTATGTCAAGAACTTCATTCGCTACCCATAAACTTTCTGACGTCTTTGGATTGTATTAATTGTTCCTTTTGTCCATGTATCATTCTGAATGTGGATGTTTTGTTCCAGATTATTTTCTCTTCATATTTTTTACATAGTTCTTTTTGTCCCAAATAACAAAAGAATGTTAATGCAATAGTACATTTTACATGAGTGTATCAGTCTACTAAATTATCCTCTGAAGATTACATGGTTGAAGAAATAAACAGGTGATTAAAGGGAACAGAAATGGGAGTAAAATTACACTTTTTCATTACAAGAGAATTTCACATTAAATTGTCATTAAAGAACATAAAAGTATTATGCCAAATGTAGTTGATTTTCTTAAAACTTGCATTCAAAATAATAAATCTAGTTGAATTACCCACTCTTTCAACACCTCATAGGTCTATGGAAAGATCTATTTGAATACCTATTTAAAAATTCACTAAAATAAAGATGATAAATAACTCCTACTCACCTGACAGATGCTATGGTATTTATCTCACATAAAAATTATTTTACTGAATAATGGAATTCTTAGATGTACCATATTAATCTGCATCTTTTAAAATCATGTTTTTATTTTTTGTGCTGTCTTTGAATAATATGTATGTATAAACTAATAGCTACATATAGCTAGACTAAGAAAATTAGCTCTACTTGCTACCTCCTTAGAGGTAGAAGAAATCAATTCAAATAAGATAAATTGGCTCATATTTTATATTTTCAATGAATGGATGACCAAAACATCCACAGTGATATTTTAATAAATATGAAGAAAACACCATACCCCCCAACTCTGCTTTCTTTTCTACTTAGTTGCTTGCTAAGAAAAATCATCCCTTGCTTCACATCTAACCTCATCCAAGTAGCCTTCAGGAGTCTGGTTCAATGCTCATAAATTGGCGACCTAGAAGGCACAGTGGAGTGTGAGTTAATTTCATTAATGCACTCTTGGGGAAGCCCATGTGCAGCTAGTGTTTCCAAACCATTTATTTTGTCTAAACATTTCCTCTCACTGAGTTATTTATACATTATGTTGTGGAACTAGAGTGGGTGCTAAAGGTAGGGCCAGATGAAAATCTTTCTAGACATAACTCACGGGTAGTAAATGTCGGGCTTCTATCAAGGAAACTCTTCAGCAAGCACAGCGTCCATGCAAAAGCAAAGGCTTCTAGAATAGGACAAATTGGACCATGCAGACTTAGCCTCTTACACTTTAGTTTCCAAAATGCTTATTACTAATACATTAATTTATTCCACAAATAGCTGTTGACTACCTCTTAGGCAGCCAATGTGTTCTAATGGAAAAAAGAGGTTTTCTTTACCTTCAATCTGGAATGAAAACTTTCTTAAAGATTACTTATGCATCTTATAAGATTATACATAATTTTCATATTAATTGGTTCTTATAAAATATATATATTTGCACTCTACACAAAGATCATTCCATTTTGCATTTCTATTGTATCTGATGATAAAACAGAAGTAAATGAAATTAAATTTCTATACCCTAATCAATCTAGAAATGTCATCAGTTTTCCAAGTTTGTCAGTTCTAATTAGAAGATATGGTAAGCGAGACTCTGAGCATGTTACACTTTCATCATTACTTCCCAAATTTGAGAAAACAAAAACAACTAGATAGCACTCAGATATACAAATCAGAGAAATAAGCTATTTTAGTAATAGCTAAAATGACACCACAGAATGAGGCTGGTTTGATTTTAACATACCCACATTTAAGCTATTTAAGGTCCTCAAAAACATCCCTGTTTCCCTTCAGAGTTGGCTGCACATCAGTGGTATGCGTTATGTCACCAGAGCATGTACATCATTAAAAACACAAAATTCACAAAAGCGCATGAAAGGTAGAGATAAAATTAAACCCAGAGAGTTTTGTCTGTAGTAAGGGCTCCATGGTTGTTTATTAAATAGGTTATGTATTAATTGGCTATTGTTCATGATGTAATCATCATCAGGCCAAGAATAAGATCTGTTAGGAACCTACCAGTGGTTGGCACAGCATGGACTTCTCTGTCCTTCTCCAGCAACTCAAGTGGGAGGTGAATCATCTTCATTTTGCAGTTGAAGAAAGGAATGCCCAGGTGAGTAAGCAGCTTTTCCAAGGCCATGTTGTTAGGAAGTGGGCAGGCTGCCACATGAACCTTGGCCTGACTGACACACACTTAGGCTTGTTCCATCACATGATGCTGTATACACTACAACTATGACGTAAAACCCAGCTTTAAAGGAAACACTGGGATTTTTAAAATTGCATCTCCATTCTCCTGACCTCCAGAACCAAACTAAGCTACAGTTTAAGCCATGAAGTGATTTACATGAACATAAAATTTCAAAAAGGTGGTGACATGGCAGAGATACTGACAGAGCATTTTGAAGAAACCGGTGTGGCAGATTGCCAAAATAGCCACAGACTCCTCTCAACCATGTATATGTGTCCCTGGCAAAATTATTTGTGGCTACTTCCATTAAGAAGTGAAGTGGGTTCCTCCATCCCTCCCATCTGATCTTGACAGTAAGACTTGCCATGGCCAAGGGATGTGGTAGATGTGACCCAGAGGTGGGCTGTATTGCTCCTGGACTTTTATACAACAGTGTGAGGAAGTCCAGTGTATCCCGTAGTGGAGGCCAGATGGGAGAGCACTCAGGCACCCTGACCTGCACCCTGCCCACTCCTGCCAGCTGGGGAGTGGTACTTCCTGCTATAATCAAGATAAAGGTGACTTCAGTGAGCTCAGGTGAGACCAGAAGAACTGTCCAGCTGACAGCTGAATTCCTGACCTGCAGATTCATGAGGGTCACACGCCTCACAGAATCCTGTCATTTTCTGTAATAGTGATGATGAGTTGCATTGAATCATATAATTCTTTTGATGCCAAATTTCACTTTGGGATCAAGTCATGCATCTAGCCGATGCCTTGGTTGCCATGGAATTCTTTTTCTCTGAAGAAACTTCACTGAATTCCTCAGTAATGAAACCCTGGATTCATCAGAATCCTGCTTCTGGAACTGAGAGAGGCTTGGCTCAGATGTTGTTTTCTCCAGGGTCTCTACAGCCAACCAAATGTGGGCAGACATCAGGCCTTGTAATGGCTTTCAGAAGCCCAGCCCTTTTGTCTTTGTGGCTATTTCCTCCCAAAAAAAGGGCATTTACAATTACATTTCAAAGATGAATATACTG